AAAAGGGGGCAGTCCACCCTTGATGGTGCTGATCCTCATCCCAGCTGCTTCACACTCTTCTTCACACTTCACAAAGCTGGAGATCACAGACTAATGACCAGATTTTACAGTTTTCATTCATTTATTGTAAAATAAAAATTCCGGTGTTCTTGCATTCTTCCCACAGTCACCAGCAGATGTCATCCAAAGAAAAGAGTCGGCTTTCTGCTCTGGTCAGCAGCCGTGCAGAAAATCCATGGAGGGAGCTCTGCAATCTCACCTCCTCAATGCAGAGTTTGGAAAAAATAAAAGTACCAGTGTCTGAGCTGTGTGAGTCACTGCAGAATGACAGTCTGCCCGTGCAGCAGTGGACCAGCCGGGCCCTGCTGTCCTCCTCACCGAGCCTCCCTATGGTTCCACAGACTAATGGAGAAAGAACCGAGACCTGTGAAAGTGACATCCATCTACAGTCAGATGTGTAAACTCTTTTTTTTCCCCACTGCTGAAGGTGTGTAAGTACATCTGCAGCTGTTTGACATTAATACAATTCAAGATGGCTGCCACAGCCAACCGACCTTAAAACACAAAAAACAGCTATCACTCTGTCAATTTTACAGATACCGATCTGAAATTTAATGGATGTAGCTGAGACTGATTCCCAACACATTATTTGAACACTAAACGAATGGTCTTTGCTTAAAACTTTATCATTAACTATTTGCAGTCAACTCTGTCTGTTAGCAAAATATCTCATGAATCACTTGAGAGATTTGAATGAAACTTTCAGGAAATAATCAGTGGCTGAACCTCTGCAAGTGATAAACCTTTGGGATCAACTCAATGTCGGATGGGCTCCACAGCCAACAAACCATAGAAAGCACAATAATGTCTATAATTCAGTCAGTTTTACAGATATTAGGCTAAAATTTGACCGGGTGGTATGAGAGCCAAGGAGTGTGCCTATCAACTTTGTCATTTCTGAACAGAAGATGATCCTAGTCTGAAAGTGCAGCATGGAGTGTTGCAAAATAATGGGTCTTTTTATTGACGCTGCAGTTCTGCAAGAAGTTTGGAAGTTCTGGCAAAACGTTCCTCCCAGAATTTCTGAAGGATGATGGCTGCTGTGCTGCACAGATTCAAAAAAAAAAGAGTAGGAGTCTGAACGTTGCAGTTAAACAGCAACAAAGTGTCAGCACATTTCAAACAATGTCGTCAGCACGAGATTACAGCTGTTCATGGCTGCAAGAATGTAAAGCTAAATGCTGATACATGCTGATTCTACTTTATAGGAAGTGGAAGCAGAACAAATGGTATCACCTACAATGGCATCGCTTTGAATAGTTTTGGTTAGGAAAAAAAAAAACCATCAACTAAAGTTATCGTTGTAGCTAAAATGTCTTGTCAGAATTAAAAAAAAAAAACTCTGATGCATTCATGTAAAAGCTTTAAATCCAAAAAAGCAGGTAACATTTTAAATAATTTAACAATTTAAGTATGAAAAATGTGTCGTAGACAAATCTGTTTGTAAGAAACTTTGGGTTATGATGATGAAATAAAAGCGTATCCTGAATCTAATTCATCTACCGTGAGGGGGTTTAAATCTTCACACTTTGTCCTCTAAAACTATTTCCACCATCCGTGTTACATTTATCATTGCTCTCATTGTAGTTTGGACTTCTCCTCTGCCTTTTAGCTGGTTCCAGTGCAGCCAGTGAGGTTTACCTCCATTAAACTTGTGTCAAACAAACTTAATTAAACTCAGTGCAACTAGTTTAGCACATTTTGCCCCATAAATCTTGCGTTTCTGTCATTTATTTGTTGTTTGGTGTCTCTAGTTCGGTGTTTTCATTACAGTATTTCCATTTAAAGTCTGCACTTTTTTCTGTAAGGTGAAGCTAAATGAAGAGCAATCAATGTTTTACAGTTGGCAGTATATATTAAATTATAGCTGTAAAGACAGTAACTGTTAATAATATAGGGAAATGACAAAGTCATGTAATTAAAAAAGCAAAGGTAACAGTAAATATATGCAATGAATTATTAAATTAGCACGTTTTACTTGCAGGAAAGAATTGTGTAAGACTTATTAAGAATTGTGTCTTGTTGTGAAATGGCTAACTTATCACCACAGAATGAGTCAAGTGTACCATTCTGTCATTTTATTATAATTAGGTTGTTAATTATTATCACCCCTCAGCCCACAGGCAAAGGTGAAAATGTTTTAGATCTGTTTGTGTTTCTGTTAAGAAAATATTCCATGAGCCGCTGTGTGAATTATTTAATGCAATCTTCAGAGAGTAATCTTTAAATGCACATCTGCAAATGACTAACACTGGGAGTCAACTCCACAACTAATCTTGTCCACACAGAAATGTCTATAATGGTTAGTTTTACAGATGTTGAATTAATATTTGGAGTGGTAGTAGCTGAGAGTCATTCACAACTCATACACAGAGCGTGACATTATTGCACAAGTTTGCGCATAATGTTGTTGTTTTTTTTTTCTCAAGGTTTGATTAAATTGATCTATTAGGAAGTGGTGGCGCAGAGGTAGAGAAGGTGGGCCTGTGATTGGAAGGTTGATGGTTCATCTCCCTGTACCAACAACATCAAAATGTGGGTGAGAAAGGTGAAGCACCCACACCTGTCTCCACCCTCATTTGCCCCACTATGTGCCCTTGAGCAAAACCCTCAACCCCCACCATCTGCTCCCCCGGGCACCATATTTGGCAGCTCTCTGCTCCACACAGAGGGCTGTGGTAGCTCAGTGGTCTGTGGTTGCATCAGGAAGGGCATCCAACGTAAAAATAATTGCCAAGTCTTTGTGCGACTTAGTTCGCTGTGGCGACCCCTGAAGAAGGGAGCAGCCGAAAGAAGGAAAAACTAAAAAGATTAAATTGATCTATTAGGTAAAGATAAATAATTAGGGGTGCACCGATTGCAGTTTTCTGGCCAGTCACATTCTCTAAAAAGCCTGACCTGACGATTCCGATTTTGTCTGATACCGCTTTTGTTTTATAAGCAACACTGTCAGGTGTTATAATGCACCTTCAATTTTCCAATCTTAATTTATTGGAAGAAAAAAAAAACATACCCTTGAACAATATCCTAGAAACAATACAAACTTATTTTAACTGACCATGAGGTAGTGCTCTGAATTATAAATGAAGTTCAGACAATTGTTAAAACTACAAAAAAAATCGGTAAAACTGGTTTCTCATGTAAGTATCAGCCAATCGCCCAAAATTAAGGAGATCGGGACCGATAAATCGGCCGGTCGATTTATCGTTGCACCCCTATAAATAATACAATGTTAATTAATATGTGGAAATAATGTAAAACTGTAAACTAAATCTAAACATTTTTTCTATAAATATTGTCTCTTTTATTGTTTGTCTAATATTGTTTATTATCAATCAACCTTTATTTATACAGGTAAATCCCATTGAGCCTCGAGGACTCATTTACAAGAGAGACCTGATTTCAACAAAGAAAGATGACAACAATGGACAACAGCAACAACAATAAGCAGTTATAAAAACTCATACTACAGTTTTTTTTTTTTTTTTTTTTTTAACAAATAGGATGGCTAAAAGGAAAAGGTAACAAAACAAACAAAAAAAAAAACAGCTAGATTCCAAGACAAATGTATAAAACTAAAAACAGGAACATGTCTGCATTGGTCCCTGCCAGGAGTGCCAGGAGGATTATGGGTGGGACTTGTGGAGCACCCACACCTGCCTCCACCCTTGTTTGCCCCACTCTGGACCCTTGAGCAAGGCTCTTTACCCCCACCATTTGCTCCCCTGGGTGTCCTAGATAGCAGCTCTCTACTCCACACAGAGGGCTGTGGTAGCTCGGTGGTCTGTGGTTGCGTCAGGAAGGGCATCCAGAGTAAAAATAATTACTACGTCTCCGTGCGACTTAGTTTGCTGTGGTGACCCCTGAAGAAGGAAGAAGCTGGAAAAAAACAACTCTCTTTTAATGTCTCCATCAAGCATGTTAATGTAACAGTTTACTGATGCATGCTCAATAATCCAGGTAGAAAAATACAAATAAGTTCAATCTGGTCCTCTGGACATTCCAAAAAATGTTTGCAAATGTTTCCAAAAAAATTTGGAATGTCCAGAGGACCAGATTGAACTTTTTTGGAATGTAACAGTTTGTTTCCCAACAAGGTAAAAAGTCAAGTTTTTGTTTTTATCTTGTTTGTTTTCCTTCAGCAGCTCTGCCCTGTGGAGGTCTCTGCAGTGTGCAAACGTGTGCAAAAAATTAGCAATTGTTTGGTGCCCTTTGTGGGGCTACCTGGGCTCGAACCTGCAGCCTCTGGTCTACGAGACCTCGGCACTGACATCTAAGCTAGCGTGTCCCCAAATTTTACATTTTTATTCGAACTGAAAAGACGTCTGACTGTTCCCTGTTGCCCTAGGAGTCCTTATTCAGTCACACTTTGTGCCTGCGTTACTCATATAAATGTCAACAAAATGATTTGCGTATTTGGCTTCTATGCTGTAGAGCAAACTCAGAGTGTGATAAAGGTGACACACACAATCTGTCACCATCCTCCATTTGACTTTAGCTGAAATAAGTGCCACCTCTCTGCAGCTCACAGGCTACGCAGGAGTCACCATCAATCAGAGGCCCTCGTGCTGTTGCTAGGTTTGAGCTTCGGCGTGCACAGACCACCATCCCCTTGGTGTAATCATTGTTTTTACACAAATGAACCCTGTTCACCCAACAAGTATCAGCGTTGAAGGAAAAAAAAAAGCATTTATACTATTTCCCCAATAGTTCATTAACAAAAATGATCTAGTCATGAAATACACCTGATTGTAAAAGTCTGAAAATAAATCTCTGACATGTCTTTATTATATTCTAAAGATGTTATCTTTTCTTATGGGGCCCAGCTTTGGACTGTGTTCAGGCTACATGGCTTCCTGCGAAGGCAAACACGAGAGAACAAAGTCCAGCTGAACCCACAGTAAAACCAAATGAGGTGTATGCCCTCGCTCGGTTCAGAGAGCCGGTGATAACACACAGGAACAGCCAGCAGCAGGATACAAGCTGTTTGTCAGGGACGATGAATGCTTGATGTTTGATGATAGGATGAAATATGACTTTGGGAGGAATTACAAATGGTAAGTTTCTATTACCTGCTTTTTAAGGCATTTTTAATGGCATAGCTGTGTTGTACTTTTTTATATAACAATAGCAACAGTGCTTTTACTGTTACAACTCGTCGTTCTATACGTAACAGAATTAATTGGGAAGAAAGCCTAGCAGCAGAATTATATCAATGTCACCATTAATATGCAACTGTTGAATTAGTTTAAACTCTCCAACGTGTGCTTATTTATTGAAGGTATTTACTTGAACACAGTGACCTACAGTATTTATTAATACAATTAAAAATCACTTAACGTTTTTTTAAATATATGGTAACTTGATAGATTATGCTTATTCTCAGTACTTTGCTGTTGTTCTTTAAAGATCGTTACACTAACGTCCCATTTCAGAGACGTTTTTTTTTTTTAGCCATTCATTTGCACACACAGTCTCCATGCAAACGCATCAAATACCGTTCTTGTATGGTTTATTTTGAAATGGTCTGTTTGCAGTTTAGGCAGGTGGAGGACAGGATGGTTGGCCTCAGCGGTGAGGAGTCTCCCGTCCAGTCATGCGCTCAAGCCTCTGATTCCCACCTCCTGCCTGTTGGCCGTGATGATTTATGGCCAAGCTGATAAACTCAGGAACTTCGTGGCGGACATCTTTATCCCACAGTATCGCTACCCGTACCCTGTGGCCCTCTGCTTCTCCCAGGTTGGTTCCTCGATGGTTTTGTTTTGGTTTACACAATGAAAAAAAGCACCATGCATTCAACAGAAAGGGCATCACTAGTCTGTGAAAAGGATACACATCATAAAAGATTATTTCCATACTGTTTTGCTTTACACAGAGTTATTCCTGTCCTAACAGCATGCTATTTGCTTATGCTGCAATAACATGGTAACTCTGGGAAACAAGAGCAAAGTTATTGTGCCAGTGTGTTTACTAAAGAATCAGTTTCATTGTATGAATAGTTAATAGAACATCTCATAACTATTAATAAGTGTCACATTCATTTTGGTAGATTGAAGTACAAAGTGTTCTAACAGACGAACTTTATTAAATCAGCTGACATTTGGCGTGTGGGTGGGTTGTGTGTGGTGGTGGGGGGGGGGGGGGTGCACATTGAGGGACATTGAGTTAGTGACAATAGTGTTGATAAACAACAAGCCTGTGATTGATGTTTAACCAAACTGCCGCCCTTTAGACCGACATGTGAATGTGACCCTGATGTCCAAAGACGGACCACGAGTGAGTTTTCTGAATGACTTGTCAGGCAAAGTTCACGGGTTCACCACAGAGCATGCCTACGCCGTGCCAGGTTTTTAATAAATTACAGCGAATGAAGGTTTTATGCATTCAGATAGAACATTTTATACAACGTGGTATGACAGGCATGCGATTCTGCTGAAGGGACGAGCCGTAAAGACAAACGATCAATAGTTCACTGCACTCATCAATGTGCGACATTGCTCACTGAAATATCTCGACTTTTTATCCACACGTCCAGGATCCAAGTCCTCAGTTTTTGTTGTGAAATGTTGAAAATAACAAATAGTTCATTGGGTTCATGAGTAGAATAAAATGTAAAAAAATAAAAATAAAATAAAAAAGGTTGGGGGGAAGAAAACAGTCAAAAAGTACTTTTGCTTTCTTCGTGACAAATTTGGGGTTTTACTCTGTAACCTTTTATTACAATAAACTGTCAGCCAAGGCTGTGGGAAGTAGGGGTGCAGAGTGTGCTGCAGTGCCCGCTCTGCCAGAAGGCATGTACTGTCCAAATGAAAAAAGATTTGAGATTTTTGCAAATTTATTAAAAATAGATAACTAAGAACTCACATTTACACACATATTCACAGCCTTCGCTTCATACGTTGTTGATCCAACTTTGGCAAAATTACAGTCTCAAGTCTTTTTGAATATGATGCTACAAGCTTTGCACACCTATCTTTAGGCAGTCCCCCCCCCCCCCCCCCTTCTTTGCGGTACTTCTCAAGCTCCATCAGGTTGGATGGGATTCGGCTGTGCAGCCATTTTCATATATCTCCAGAGATGTTCCATCTGATTCAAGTCTGGACTCTGGCTTGGCCACTCCAGGACCTTCACAAACTGGTCCTGAAGCCACTCGTGTGAGATCTTGATCGTGTGCTTTGGGTCGTTGTCCTGCTGAAAAATTAACCGTCACCCCAGTCTGAACTCAAGAGCGCTCTGGGGCAAGTTTTTGTCCAGGATGTCTCTGCACATTGCTGCATTCATCTTTCTCTCTATACTGACTAGTCTGCCAGTTCCTACTGCTTGAAAACGTCCCCACAGCATGATGCTGCCACCACCATGCTTCACTGTAGGGATGGTACTGACCTGGTGATGAACGGTGCTTAGTTTCCTCCAAACATGTCACCTGGCATTCTCACCAAAGAGTTCAATCTTTGTCTCATCAGACCAGAGAATGTTGTTTCTCGTGGTCTGAGAGTCCTTCGGGTGCCTTTTGTCAAACTCCAGACGAGCTGCCATGTGCCTTTTATTAAGGAGTGGCTTTCATCTGGCTACTCTACCATACAGGCCTGATTGGTGGATTGCTGCAGGGATGGTTGTCCTTCTAAAAGGTTCTCCTCTCTCCACAGAGGAACGCTGGAGCTCTGACAGAGTGACCATCAGGTTCTTGGTCACCTCCCTGATTAAGGCGCTTCTCCCTTGATTGCTCACTTTAGACATCCAGCTCTAGGAAGAGTCCTGGAGGTTCCAAACTAATTCCATTTATGAATGATGGAGGCTCCTGTGCTCAGTGGGACCTTCAAAGCTGCACATTTTTTTCTGTGTCTTTCTCCAGATTTGTGCTTCAACACAATCCTGTCTTGGAGGGCTACAAACAATTCCTTTGACTTCAGGCTTGGTGTTTGCGCTTTGACATGCACAGTCAACTGTGGGGCTTCATACAGACAGATGTGTGCATTTCAAAATCAAGTCCAATCAAATTAATGTAGCACAGGTGGACTCCATTTAAGTTGTAGAAACATCTTAAGGATGATCAGTGGAAACTGGAAACATCTGAGCTCATTATTGTGTGAGTGCAGCTACAGGACATTATTACCTGCAGTGTCCCCTCAGTGTGGACTGAACTAGGCAAAAGGGCCTTCTACTCCACTCCTGTTTCCTGGAATATCTTACAAAAAGATATGAAGCTCTCGACCTTGATCTCTCAAAGTGGCTTTAAATATCTGCTAAGCTCCTGGTAAAAACCAATGCAGACATGTTCCTGTTTTTTAGTTTTCTACATCGCCTTATAATCTAGCTGTTTTTTTGTTTTTGTTTGTTTTTTTGTTTTTTTTTGCTACTTTTTCCTTTTGACTGTCCTTTTGGTTGCCATTTTATTTTAGTTTCTAAAAATAAATAAATAAATAAAAAAATTAAATGTGTATGCCTCGTTTATGATTGTCTATTGTTGTCGTTGTTATCCACTGTTATCACCATTCTTTGTTAAAGAAATCAGGTCTGTCTTGTAAATGAGTCCCTGAGGCTCATTGTCATTAACCTGGATAAATAAAGGTTGAATGAACATTGAGGCTGTGAAGCAAAGGCTGTGAATATGACATAAACGTGATTTCATGATTTTCTATTTTTAATAGGTTTGCAAAAATCATTAAAAAAAATAACATTGTTGCAATGGAGTATTGTGTGTAGAGTTTGAAGAAATATTAATTTAATACAATTTAGAATAAGGCTGGAAAAAATGAAGCACTGTGAAGACTTTCTGGATGCACTGGAAATATACTGTACATATATATATATATATATATATATATATATATATATATATATATATATATATATATATATATATATATATATATATATATGAATTTTGTAAATCTGGTGTATGACCCAGTATCCACCATTACTGTGTATCTGTGTACAAAATTTTAACCACTTAATTTGTACAAAAAAGTGAACAGAATAACATTAGGCCATGATTGCAATTTTATTGGTATTATCTGTCCATACAGCAAGTTTTCATGTCCATATTCAAATAAGACAAGTGTGCATTTCATTGTACATACAATATGTAGTATTGGGTGTCCTCAAGGGCCACTATCCTGTATGTTTTAGAGCTTTCACTGCTTCAGAACACCTGATTTGAATGGATGGGCGATTAACAGGCTTTACAAAGTTGTTTCAGTCATTAAGTCAGGTATGTTGGAGCAGCGAAACAAGTAAAGCATGCAGTATAGTGGTTTTCGAGGATCAGAATTGGACAGGTTGATTGCATTGATATTGTCCTGTCTTCTCCAGGTTCTGGTTTCTCTCGTGTTCTTAAATCTCCTCCATGTCCTGGGTCTGGTGCCCCTCAAACGTTACTCCAAGTCTCTTGGTGAGCGGCTGCTGCTGCCTGCTGTCTGTAACGGTGTGCAAGCTGTGCTGGTCTTATGGGTGAAAGGCAGCAGCTCGTGTGCCGGCCTCTTTCTCTTCACCATTCCTCTGCTGCCTTTGGTAACCGTGGGCTTTAGTTTCGCCCTGAAGCTGGCGTCCCCACCATCAAATCACTCCATTGTTCTGATTTCCATGCTGAGCGTGATGTTTGTCATCATCACAGGTACACTTTAACATTCATTATGCAGGAAAAAAGAAAATAAAGGATTTATACTATATCAACTTTTTCTTTTCTCCTTACAGCATCCAAGGAGGTTCCATGTATCGAGCCTTTAGAGTATTTGTACGCACCTCTAGCTTTAATCCTCCAGGGTGTTTCTCTGAGCGCCTTAGCCAAAGTGTCTGAAGCCGAGCGCCACCACTCTCCTGAAGCCCAAGCCTCGGTTTTTGACATTTTCTACACCCAGCTGGTCAACCAGAGCGGGGTGCTGGGCCTGTTGTGGCTGCTGCACCCAGACAGTCCCTGGCAGGTGCTGAGGCTGAGCAGCTGGAGGAACCTGCTCTTCCACGGATACCTGCTGGCCATCCTCCTGCTAGGGATGGTGCTCAACTTCATGGTTTGCATTTCTGCTCTTTGTGTGTCGCCGCTTGCTGCCGCGCTGCTTTATTCAGCGAGACACGTAGTTCAGCCATTTCTGCAGCTTCTCTAGTCCAAAAAAATTCTAAATATACCAAATAGGCACGTTTTCACTATAGTTTCACACGTGTGCCTGGAGCTCTCTGGCACCACCACTGGGTTAATTATGAATATCTGTTGGGACTTTGATGATAAGTGATTTAGATCTGGAGTTGAAATCAGCACGTAAACAGTCAAAACGGGCGTGTTTGTGCCACAAAATGTCATTTAACCTTCTCAGGTTGAGTCCTGAGTAAATTATCTGATGGATTTAATTTGCTGCAGTCGATCTAATCTTTGATCTCGAAGGGAATCTGCACACCAAGCAAAATCTGGGATTATAGTCCCGTCATTAACACATCCAACTACTGACCTTCGCTCAGAGACAACTGTACTTTCAACTCTAAAGCAACCGTTGCAAAACATGTCAGTGGTGTAAGGTTGCTCCTACTGTGTGAGCTATTTCTCATGAAAACTAATTTTTTTTACAAGAACATCTAGAACTTTTAATATTTGACAGAAAGTGGCAGTCTAAACATCTAAAGGTGTTTTTGTCTCTTGTGAATATAATAAGCAATATCATGTCTATTTATGAAAAACTACATTTAACCTTTTCTCTTGTTAGCTGATGCTAGTGTTTTTACTACCTGCAGTTTGACCCCTCTTTTTGTGATATAAACAGTATTTAAGAGCTTAACCTCTCTTTTCTCCACCAGTGAAGAAAAGGTTTAATCAGATCTTAAGGTGTTTCCTTTGTTGACTCTGATTCTTCAGATGAAAAGGAATTACATGAACTCAGTTGATGCTACGTTTGCTCATCAGTGTTAAAGTATTTGAACTGAGGTCCATGACTTAATCATTTTTAAACCAGACGCTGGTTAATGACGCCCCTGAATGAGTCCGGCTGCTCAGATGCCAGATGAAAATGGGTGATAGTGAGACTTAATTTTTTTTGTGTGTTTTTAGACTTTGTTTCCATATTCTTAATTGTCATATTGTCTTAAAATAAGCTATTTGGGTTGCAGTTTTCCTACTATCTGCATTACATTTTAGAACTTTTTTTTGTTGTGCATGCTTTCAAAGACAATTTTGATATTGTAATATTGTTGCAGATATAATAGTATTCTGTGCAAACTTAATAAAATTGAAGGCTGAAATTAAAATATTTAGAAAAACTTTTATTTCAAGCACAGAAAAAAATATAATCAGTACACATATTTATTACAAAACAACATAAAAAGCATGACTATAAACCTGCAGCAAGTTCGAGGATATTTGAGTGCACTGCCCGTTAAAAAATGTGGAACTATACGAGATATTCTCGGAATATTTTAGGACGCAATGCTTTTTTTATTGACTTGCTTTTTTAAATTTGTATATTAAATTGTAGATCACAAGATGGGGAATAACCAAATAAGTTGTTCATGTTTTTCCAGTTGGGGACAAAAGGTAAATTTTTCTGGATTTACTGACCTAAAACTGAACATGTTTCTATTATATGCAAGTTTCTTTCTTTAAAATTTGCAGTCAACTTCATGGAATTAAAAAAAAAAAAAAAAATTAACTTCTGCACTTGTTACATTTCTGAACTGTAAAAACAAGGAGAGTTATTCTAAAATTATAACTTTTATTATAATGAAAGCACAGGAATTTCCCGTGTCATTTCCCAAGCTTCTGTTCAGCATTTCTTCATTTATAATTGAAGTCCTCTTATTTTTCACCGTCTACGAAGGATCTGAGTTGGGTGGCAGATGTAAGCCCAGGCTCTGCAGCAGGTTAGAAGCGGGTCCGGCCAGGCCGGCCTGGCTGCTGAGCGACTCCAAGAGATTTGTGACTAAATTAACATCAATATCTAAAGGCTGGATTTCTTCTTCTGCATTTTCCACTCCTCCATCCTCCTTGGAGACGTCATCTGTTGCTGATGAATGAGAGGAGCCAACGTCCATGGCAGGCTTGTAGTTCTGAGGAAATCATAAATATAGAGGTGTTCATTCAATAGAGCGTTTTTATATTATCTGATATTAACGGTGAGGAAAGAACACAGAATATAAACAATACAAGAAGTAAACAGCTAGGATTTACCGTCTGAGTGAAGCTTTGTCCTACGTTGGTGCTCAGCAGCTCCTGGTCCATTTGGTCCATGTATCTCTTGAGGCTGTCCAGAGTTTCTGCTCCACAAATCTGATCAGAGGAGTCCTCTTCTTTCTCTTCATCCTCCTCAGCTTCGTCTTCAAAGTCATCATCGTCCAGATCATCCGAATCGAGCTCTTCTTTGCTTCCTAAATAAATAAAATACGTCAAAGGAGGAAAACGTGGCAGGATTTTTCACTTTAAGACATCTTTACTAGCTTGTTTGTACCAAGCAGTTTATCCAGAGCGGTAGCCATAGAGTCGGGGTCAAAGCTAAAAGGCTGAGCTGCGCTGCTCCTGAAATACAAGGGAAGAAAATGAGACGGTTCAGCTGACAAGTCAGAATAAAACACAAACTTCACTTTTTTCTCACCAGGGCAGCTCGGCCCCCTCATGTGACGACATGGCACTGAGGAAGTCCTTCATCCCCTGACTGACTGCTACCAGGCTGTAACCCGCCTCCTCTTCCTCCTCGTTATCCTCCGTTTTCTTTCTCCTCTCTGCTTCTTCCTCGACGTGATGCTTCTGTTTCATGGAATTTGAGGTTTTGCTGCTGATGTCAGCTCTACTGCTGCCTCTGTCCTGCAATAACCGCTCAAAATCCTGAGCTGTGATATCCAGCCAGCTGTCACCTAGAGGTCGACAAAAAAACAAAAAAGTATGAGATGCAACAGAAGAAAAGTAAAGGTGAGGTTTGTAAAGAGCACAGAAACAGAAATAAACTAGAGAAATTGCATTTCCTGTGAAAATGCAGTGTGAATGCCTATTGCTGAAAAACTTGCTGAAAAACAGCTGAAATTAACTAAAAAACATGCTGACATGTAGCCGAAATGGAAGAACAAGTCTAAGAAGAAAACAGAAAGAACACATATTTGCTGAATTAGGTTTAAATAAGCAGAAATTAGCACAAATATAGGAAATTAGCTAAAAAATCTGAAATTGACAAAAAGTAGCTGAAAATTAGCAGAAAAGGCAGAAAGAAGCTTAAGCTACCCCAAGGAAGAAGGAGCTGAAATGAGCTTAAAATAATGTGGAATTAGCTCAAAAAGCTAAATTTAGCACAAAACACCTAAAAAGTAGCTGAAATAGCAAAACAAGCTAGCAGAAGAAAGCAAAACATGTTTGCTGAAGCAGAAATGAGCACATAAAGTGGAAATTTTCTGAAAAAAGCTGAAATTGGAAAAAAAAAAAAACAGCTGAAAAGTAGCTAAAAAAAGCACAAAGAAGTTTTAATTGCCAGAAGTTCTTGCTGAATTAGGCTGACAAAAGTTTAAATTAGTGCAAAAAATGTGGAATTAGCTGAAAAAGCTAGCATAAAACAGCTGAAATAGCAGAAAAATCCGAAACTTGCAGAAATAAGCTGCAGGACAAATAAGGAGCAGAACAAGCTAAAATTAGCAAAAATAAGTTAATTCAATTCAATTCAATTCAATTCAAAAATACTTTATTAATCCCAGAGGGAAATTAAGTGTCGTCGTAGCTCATCATCCTGGTTTTATTCGAGTTGTTAGATGCTGATTGCAAGAAGCACCGAAATGTTGTAGTTAGCCGAAAGAATCTGAAAGTATCACAAAACAGCTGAAATTTGCTGGAAAAAAAGTTTAAATTTGCACAAGGAAGCTGAACGAGAACAAAGTGTGAAAAAAGCAGTAAAAGGTTGTAAACACATCTAAAGATGTAAAGGATGTAAAATGAGCTCAGTTCATTTTCTATGAGAAACAAATGGCGAATAAGGTGAAATATTTCAAAAAGATAAAGTTGCACCAATACCAAAAGTCAAAGCAGGATTGTTCTGAAAGAGCTGAATGTTTTGATACATGATTTATTGAAATAGCTTGAAAACTGGAAGACAAAAATCGCGCTGAAAAACATACGGAAGAAAAATGGATCACAAAAGTGTAAATGCTTCATAAACATTCACACTTTTAACAGGAGGCTGAGAAACACTGTCATACAAACACTGCATTATTAACTTTACAGCAAGCCAACTAGATATTCTGACAGGCTGGATGAACATCGTCAGTTTTTACTCACTGTCCTCTTGGGGGAGCTGTGACTCGAGTTTCTTCAACTCCTCTAAGTTGAAGGGGTTGCTCTGAAGCAGTTGCAGAACCTCCTCACCTGGCGACGGACAACTGAAACAACGTGCGCAGCAAACACATTCAGATTATCGAAGGCAGAGATATTCTAACGACTTGAGTCGTGTATGTAACCAGATGGAGCGATATGCACAACGGTCTGTACCTCAACTCTGAAGCGACGGACTGGTTGAAGAAAACTTCTGCAGCTCTTACAAGCTCTTTGTGAAGAGCGGAACCTTCCAGCTCCCCCTGCATTTGACAACAATCACATTTTAGTCATTGCACAATACAGAAATGTTAGTTGCTTGTTTTTTTTTAAAGAAAAGGAGGCCATATAATAAAGTGCGACTGACCCGGAAGTAACCGTTCCTTTTTAGACTTTCCAAAAAGGCCTTCCACTGAGGGTTGCAGCTCACAGGAGCGTCAGGCTCTGAAGATGGCAGCCTGCACTTAGAGCACAAGATCTCAAAGCCATGGGCCTGGGAGCAGAACACAAACACGTCACAGAGTTTCATTTTACACTCACACAGCAACTTGATTATAACAGAAGCTAAATAATGGAGAAACAAAACACACAAATGACACTTTACCAGTTTCATGCCAAGCTCATGAGCCTTATACTGGGGATGAGAGCATGGAGGCAGGCTGAAGCCGCTCCTCCGGTCTGGGATAAAATGTTGCTGCTGCAGCTGGGCGTACAGGCAGCGGGTGAACGTCACCTGCAAATACACACATTCGAATTAGGAGATGGCATTCCCTAAAACCTGAACAAGAAGTGCTACGATTAAAAATGATCATTAATATCTACCAAAGTGAGGACTCTTGTATTGGGAGGAAAGGTCCTGAAGCTTCGACAGGCCTGGAGGTCCACAGGATCTCGCAGATAAAAAGCTGAAACTGCAGGGGCGACCAAGTCTGGACGCAGCGCCAGCACAGTGGCAATACCTGCAGGTATGAAGCAGTGGGCACGGTGGAGGTTACCCTGAATCTTCTCTGGGAACCTAAGTGAGAAACAAGAGATTTGATGTTTTCACATTTTTTAATGTTTTAATTGTTAAAAAAACAAAAACAGTATTCCACACTGAAACTTGAGACTTTACAACATTTTACAGAGCCTGTGTGACCCTCGCTGGTGTTATCACTAATCACAAATCTGCTTAGCAGGAATGCAGAAGGTTGTGTCAACAGTATTTATCAGCCGAGTTTTAGTTAAAGGTTTATTATTGTGTGAAACCCTCTCACCCTTTTAGCCTCTTCTTCAGAGCTGAACGTATCTTGGGGCTGGCCTGACAGACTTCTGAGTCAGCAGAGAGCAGCATCAGAGCTTGTGTCACACTGGGCACCACATCACGTGGGAAGCCCACTAAACTGGATTTAGAAGGGCAAGGAAGGATGTGCAACTCTCCCCTATAAAGAAAAACCTGCAAGAAAAAGAAAAAAAAACAGTGAAGCAATACAGTCAACATCAAATGAAAATCATATAAACATGTTTCACTGTGCGACTCTAAATTAGCATTACCACAATTATTTTCCTGTTTTTATATTTGTAGCTTTGTTTTGTCGCTAAATAACTACTTCTACTTCATTTATTAATACATTCAGTTCATTCAGGACATGGCTGCTATGACTTCTGGGTTTTATAAATTTTAAATTTTTCCAAATATTTAACGTTACTTACAAGTATTTTCCCAATAAAATACAATGAAATCTATTGAATTCATTCAAAAACAGTGATCTCTTTGATGTTTGCTTCAACATATTTGGTCTTTTTGTCTTTCTATGCTACTTTTAGCTTTTAATTAGGCTTTTCTACTTTTTGCTATTTCCATAGTTATTCATTTTCTACTTTTAGTTAACATTTTGCTACTTTTAGCTATTAGCTAGACATTTGATACTTGTAAGAAAGTATCAGGAAGGAATATAGGAAGAATAAGGAAGGATACTTGCCTTTTACTATTTTTAACTGACCTATTACTACATTTAGCTAGCCTGAAGTTCACTTTAACTTTTAGCTGGTATATTACTACTTTTAGTTTTTAGTAAGCCTTTACCTACTTTTAGTTTCTAGCTAGCTTTTTGATACTTTCAGCTAGCCTGTTAAGTTTTAGCCTTTAGCTAACCTGTTTTTATTTTTAGCTTTAAGCTACATTTAATTTTAACTAGCCTATTGCTACTTTTTCTTTTAGCTGGCCGTCATTAGATTCTTGTACTTGAATTTGAGCATCAAGGAGATTTAAAAACCAAAAAAAGTCATAAGAGAAAACTTTTATTGAAGTGCAATGACAGTTGTGCATTAAGTCCATAGAGTTCAAAAGAATCCTCAACAAAAACAGGTCTACTAGAACTATACAAAAACAATAAAAGCCTTAATATCTGTCAACTTATCACTCACTCTGTTTTCACTTGTGTCTGGGTTCAGCCATTTGGGAAGATAATCTGCTGCTTCAATAAGAAGAAACTCCCCATCATTGTCCTCAACACTGCACAAATATATGAAAGTTATAAGCAGTGAGACAACTTGCACATAACTTAAACCACACAATCTTCTCACCTGGCTGCGAGCTCTGTGAAAGCCTCTGTAATTTGCTGCAGGAGGTAAACAATAAACCATTCGTCCTCAATGTTGTCTCCAAACTGAGTGCTGCCCCCAATGTGAGCAGGAACATCGCCTATCAAAGTATGCACATATTCAGTTTTACTCCTTGACCTTTAACTGAGTAAATATCTACACCTGCTGAGTAAACGTTACCTTTCTCAGGATGATATCTGAGGTTGAATGACTGATGCTGCCAGATGTACTGTACCAAAAGTGGAGCAACTTTTGCTAAAATCTCATCTGTCAGATGTTTAAGACGTTCTTCAGTCTGCTGAGAAGTTGAACCGTCAGCCTTGATCAAGAAAAGTTTGTACTGGACCATATCGTCCTGCATCCTCCTCCTCGGCAGGGCGTCCATTGTACTTTGTTGTTACTACGTGTGGAAACAGTTAACTTCACTAACAATGCGTCTGTGTCAGACAACCTTACCGTGTCTTGTTTCTAAATGTGAAATTTTATGACGGGGCTGTGCGGATCCTCATCATTGAAGAAAAATAAAATAAAATTAGGTTTTAGTCACATACGAAGCGTTTTTATCACGTTACTGCCAACACTGTTTAGGTCCTTCCTTGATATCTAGTCGACAGCCCCGAGAATATTTTACATTGTTCCTACCTTATTTATTTAGAGTATAGATATTCATCTAATAAAGTATGGTATTTTACTGTTTAAAAAAATAAAATTTTGTATTATCATCTAATGTATAGTTAATATCAACTAATCTGTTTTGAATTTTCGTCAAAATTACGAATCACGTAAGAACGGACACATTTCATAAACGTACACTTCCTAAAGGCATGCTGGTAAATGTAGTTAAAACAGCGCTTGCGCAGAAGCCGATTTCCCATGAGGCCGCGCGGTTCAGGAGCTACGTATCCATGACATCCGCGCAGCAACTGTTGTCGTAGGTGGTGCTAGCGTTAGCATAAAAAATACTCAACCCTAGTGTCTGAACACAATTATTTATTTCGAACTACAAGCCTAACTGGCAAGCAGTTTCCGGACCACACAGGAAATAATATTTAGATTAACTTTAAGAAAAACATATTTTAGGAAAATTTTACAGCGCCATTATTTGTGCCTTATTATTGTCATCGTTTATTTTTACGCCTAGCCTCCCCTAGCATCACCTCCCTGTTCAGCAGCGTTCTTGAGGGCTTTCTTTTTTTCCTGCGGACCAACGACAGAAGAAATGTTGGAGCACCTCTTAGACTGTCCGCAGCGAGTCCAAGAAGCAGAGACAAGGATGCGAAATGTGGGCTTGAGCCCATAAAACGGAGACAGAATGATTTCACGGTACAACAGGAGACCTGTATCCCACAGACTGGAGATGTGAGTAGTAATTACAATACAGACATGTTGAATTTGCTAGCTATGCTTAAAAAAAATCTGTTTTTCCAGCTGTCAGGGATTTAAACGTCTGGGAGAAAGTTGCTGCAATGTGAACTGCAGTCATATTTAGGTACATTTTATTTGTACTGATGTAGTTAGGTACTCTTAATCAGACCTGATCCTGGTTTAGACAGACACACAGTGCACAAGATACATGCACTGTATGTACATCACTTCAGAAAAAAGTGTTACATTAAGACAATTCAGATATCATTACAAAATATTAAGCAATATGTTTTGTATGATCATCTTTTGTGCAGACACCTCACAATCACTTTTGTGGCACAGTCTTGAGACATGAATGCCAGTTGTGTAGAAGTTACTAAGAAATTGGCTCCGTAAGCTCCTTGAAGACTTGCAATAGTTTCCACGCTTTCCTTTTCACGACAGAGTTGGATTCCCAGAAATCGAATACCGTTCACCTGCTTCACCTCACATCCACTGAAGGGATTCACATGTAATGTCGTTGATTTTGTTGAGACTGAGCTGTTCAGAGCCTCTTTTATACCTAGGCTGAAATTAGCTGCTGTTCACACAAAAAATCAAAACGCAGCTTCCTTCTTTCAAAATATCCCATTATGTTTTAACGGTCTAACTATGACATTTATAAATGTATGAACAACATGGTGAAAATATGACTTTGAGAAAAATAAAGAAGTTTTTTTCTTATGAAAGACTAAATAAACCAAAGTATTGCTGTTAATTTTTGACTGTGTAACTTTACAAACGGCACCCCATATATATGGGGCCATCTTCATACACGGTGCTGGCGTTAATGTTAAAATGTCACATTTACTTTAATACGCTTTCAATCTGGATTCTGTGCAGTCGTGGGTTGTCTCGAAGCAGCCTCGACCATCATCCTCTCCCCGAAGAAGCAGATGATAATCAAACCTCTCGTCGCCACCTCCATGACTTGCAGGAAGTCGTCTCTGCACACAACAGGTAACTGGGTACTACCTGCAGGCTTGGGTTGCTCTTTGAGGGTCAAACTTTTGCAGGTCCAGAGCAGGACCAATCAAACACACACGCACACACACACACATACTCTTGACTGCACGTTTTGTAATCTTACACCATCTTAAGCAGACAGACGATTCTCAGGCCTCTTGCTATGTGACACTCCGACGCAGCGGATTAATTAATATCACATTGCCTTCTTCAGATGTGCAGTCAAAAGGAAGAATAATTAGGCAGCCTGTTAGAATATTCCATTAAGCTGACATTTGTCTTTCTTTTCCATTTAGATTTTATCAGCAGCCACCACCAGTTATATTTCCTCCAGCACATGTCAACTTGTTTACATGCATCCAGTAAAATATGTGAAGCGGGTGGAAAGGACGTGGCGTGTAGGACTTTTCAAGTTAGTCACAATTTTCCTTGTTTTTCTGTTCAGCTCACAGACGTCTAGTGCTTCAGGCCACTCTGACTGCCCCACTGTGATCTCAGTCGCCTCCAACCGGTCCTGGTCCGGCATTCACAGCTCCACAGGGACTGGCATCTCCACAGAGAGGAGCTCGGTTTTCTCCTGGGGCTACGATGTAAGATCTAGAAGGGAAAAAAAACAGACTTCGCACTTTCTGATAATGCCAGCCCAGCTCCGTCTGTCACAGAAGGCATGTTTTTATGCCTTCGTCATTGAAACCGTCCTCTAGGATTTGTTCTCTTCTTGCTGCAAAGTGAGAAAAATATACAAACATTTTTTTGCATAGCAATTAATGTCAGTTTTTTTTGTTAACTCCAACCTACATTTAACACATTTTGTAAAATGTGTGGAAGGCTACAGCATCAGAATCTGCGTAGTGTACCAGATGGTGTGTTTTTCTGCTCCTTCTTTGTATGCTGGACCTGATTCTGGTTTATTATGCTTTGCTTTCTGCAATCCGTTAATTCCACAAAACTTTTCCTGCACAACTATTTATTTATTTGTTTTTTATGTGTGTGTGTGTTCTTAATTTGCTTCAAAGTTTTTTAAAGCTAACTTTCTCATCCTTTGTCTAAGTCTTCGTTGTTTCCATAAAAACAGTCCAGTTGGAAAACAAAAACATCCCAGGGGTCTATAGGAGCTCATTTTTATTGTGAAGCTTATTGACAACAAATATGAAAAGGATGTGGACCTACATGCCTGTCAAAAAAAAAAAGCGATTATAAACTAAAAGAAGCAGCAGATTTTTCATCATGGGGCTGGTGTTTGAGAACAGATGGATAACTGACTTTGTCAACTTTTTCTTTTTCCTCTCTGTCTGTCCCACAGGAGTTCGACAAGGCAGCGTCGCGGCAGGTGCAGCAAATGTTTGATGAGATCGACAAAGAGCTGTACGAAGGGAGAGGCAGTGAAGGAGCGATCCTCCAGGGGCTGCAGGATGAGTGTCAGCAATGGACCGCATGCTTCCCACATCTTCGGTGGGTCAGTCCAACGGTTTCAGCCCTTTTAGTTCTGAATGACCCTCTGGAATTGTGAGGGTCATTAATCAATGCTGATTTAGAGAAAATTTTAAATGCAATTCACTGTTTCAAGGGAAAAAAGCTTCCTTTATAATTTTATGTTTGCTTGTTTCTAGGATCCTAGGGACCCAGCTTCTGAGTCCCACTGATGAGGGCTTCCAGTGGTTTGCTACTCCAGGGACAAGAAGCGCAGCCAGCAGTCCGTCAGCAGGCAGAAAAAGTAGCGTGAAGTCCCAGGAGAAGGATAAAGGGGGTGCAGAGTAAGTCTTAAATGCGAAGACTCACTGGTTTGCTGATGGATCGAAAGATTCTGGATACTCATTCTATACTGGAGTTAAAAACTGTTTTTAAACTGATCTGGGATTAAAATAATTAGGAAAAATATATATATTTTTTTCTGTATGAGACTGATAATGGAACAAGATCTATCAAGAAGTCTGGCCAGTTTTACAGACTGGAGGTATGGAGGAGTCTTAGCTGACTCTGTCTTGTTTAAGTATTCAGGCCAAAGTCATGTTGGATATCTGAGATACCGTATTTTTCGGACTATAAGGCCACCAGATTATAAGGCACATTAAGCGAAACAAAACAGTCAGATAAAGCCCCTTTTGCACCGCTCCTGCTCAGCCCCAACCCTGCTCTGCCCTGCTCAGATCAGCCTGGATTTGCACCAAACTTCAGGACGGGTTCTGTAGGCGTGTTCTGGAGACGTATTCAGAATCCAACTCGCCTTACCACCTGGTGGCGGTAGTGGTCGCTTAAGCTATTTACTAGCCACCACTAAACGTGTTAAGAAGAAGACCCTGAAAAGATACACAACCAAATGGCGGCTTTATTGAGCATTAAGCTCAGTCTGTGGCTTTTTGTCAGACATCGAAAAGAACTGTCCCTATCCCTTGCCTGGAAAAGGCTGCGGGCAGAGGAATGCAGGAAGCGGGCTGTTCAATGCAGGCTGCGGGCTTTGAGGCGAAAGACTATAGAGAAGTACCGGAGAGTGTGGCAAACCATAATGCAGTATGAGATAGAAGACAGGATGTGAGCTGTGGGACGATCAAAGGTAAGCTAGTGTTTATCTTCTCACGTGAGCTATAATATATGAATATAAAATGGCAGATTGAGTTGTTTGGAAAGTTTCTCAGTGACTTTGGCTCCTCCCCCTGACCTATCAGTGACCGACAGTGTTCTGACGGCACGTTAAGGTCCCGACTCAACTTGACTCTCGAACGGTCCCACTAGAGAAGCAGGGACGAAAAAGGTGCCGAATCAGTCTCAAATCAGCTAGAAAGTATCGGCACAAAAGGGATTGTTTCGTGGCGAGCTGAGCAGAGTTGGGGCTGAGTAGGAGCGGTGCAAAAGGTGCATATGTCAAACTTTATTCAGCGCATTCACAATAACCACATACAATCAGTTCGAGGTCAGTAAGCACAACCAGAATTAATACATATGGCTCACTGTCGATTTTTGAGAAAATTAAAGGATTTTAAGTGCGCCTTATAGTCCGAACAATACGGTATACAGATGACAAACTAGGCTGTGACTCTGTCGGACTGGTTCACCTTAAAACTGGGTTAATGGGAAAAAATTAGACATGCTTGTCTTTATGGGGGATTATTTTTCTCTCTCTCTCTATTACAATGTTCCATATTTATGCATTTGTAATTTTATTTTGGTTTTGCAAAATATTGTAACTATTTCTTTGTGGGGCAACAGGTTAAATGTTCAGGGCAGAAAAGCTGCGCTGATCAAGTCCTCATCCCCAGAGGTGAATGGTCCTCCTAACAACTTTGGTGGCTCTGGCAGCCATGACAAGCCACGAGTGATTGAAGCAGAGGGTCTAATAGAGGAGTACTTGGCCTTTGATAGCAGGTGAAGTGTTCTTTAGAAACCCACACACAAAAAAAAAATGCAAGTCATACATTAGAGGAAAGTAAAATTCTGGTTGTCTTTTTTTCCGCAGGGATGATGAGTGTTACGAGGACTGTTTGGAGTCGGGTCGAAGGCACCACTGTCTGCCTCCTGTCTCACCACACTGGTGTCGCCGTCAAGCCGTTCTGGATTTGCTGTTTGATGATGTGTGGCGGGAGCTGGTTGGCTGGATGAAGGAGTTGGTTCAACGCCACTGGGAATGCTGCACCTCCAGTAATACTGAATTTCAGCATCCATCAAACTGCTCTGTTATTTACATATTTATTATTGTATATTGTTTTGTGATTGACAGATGATGAAACAATTTCTGGCAGCTTGAGTCCTGTGCTGCCAGACTCCCAGAATCCATTAATGCTGCTTTCCACGCTGCCCACAATTCTTCCTAAACTCAGCCAGAACCGGGTGCCACCACTCGCAGCCGGCCAGCAAATCCAGGTCAGTGTTCTGACCAGGACCAGGATCTAATCTTTAGGATTCACATAAAGGAATACATTTTTTTTTTTACTTGTATCAATCCTGGTACTGTGTTTTTCGGTCTATATGGCACACTTAAAATCCTTTAGTTATCTCAAAAATCAACAGTGATCCTTATAATCCAGTGCACCTTATGTAATAACGCTGGTTTTGCTTACCGACCTCGAATCGATCTTATGTGGTACAACTGAACAATGTCGAGAGTTATTGTGAATAAGCTGAATAAAGTTTGACTTATCTGACTGTTTTGTTTCGCTTAATGCGCCTTATAATCCAGTGTGCCTTATAGTCCGAAAGATACGGTAGATCAGAAGATTATTCCAAAATTCAAAAGTTGTCTTTTTGTTTATATTTTATATGTCCTTCAATGGATCCCTTTAAAATATTACTTGTAATAGTGGGTTTTATTCTTAAATGCCATCTCCTCTGTGGTCCACATGGCGCTCAACCACCTGGAGCAGAAAGACTCTTACGTCCATATGCTCTTTGTGGACTTCATATCTGCCTTCAACACCATGATCCTCCAAACCCTGATGGACAAACTATTCACACTGGGTACTAGACTTCTTAACAAACAGACCACAATCAGTGAGGATTCACAACTTCTCCTCCTCCACCACCATAACCCTCTGCACTGGCTCTCCTCAGGGATGTGTGTTGAGCCCTCTTCTGTTTACTCTGCTCACATATGATTGTGCAGCTACCTATCCAAGCTGTCATATTGTGAAGTTTGCAGATGATACAGCGGTGGTGGGATGCATCACAAACAATGATGAGTCCAGCTACAGGCAGGAGGTGGAACACCTGGAGAGCTGGTGCAAAAAGAATAACCTTCACATCAATGTGAAGACGACAAAGGAGATGATCGTGGACTTCAGAAGGAACAAACACACCTACACCTCCCTGAACATAAGAGGATCTGCGGTGGAAGTGGTCTCCAGCTACAAGTACTTGGGTGTACACCTGAATGACAACCTCAGCTGGAGCAACAACACCACCAGCCTGATCAAGAAAGCTCATCAGAGACTCTACTTCCTCAGATGGCTGAGACGAGCAGGACTGGGAAGCTCAGTCCTCACCTCCTTCTATAGGTGTGCAATGGAGAGCATCCTGTGCTCCAGCATCAATAGTGTGTGGCATGGAGGCTGCACAGTTGCAGAAAGAAAAGCTTTGCAGAGAGTGGTGAAGGCTGCACAGAAGTCTGTTTGAGTCAGTCTCCTCACCATCACAGACATCTACACCTCCAGATGCAGGAAGAGGGCCACCTGCATCATGAAGGACCCCACTCACCCAGCCACACACTTTTTGCCCCGCTCCCCTCAGGAAGGAGGTTGAGGAGCATTAAGTGTAGAACCACTAGACTGAGGAACAGCTTCTACCCTGAGGCTGTTAGACTCATGAATCTCTAACCAGAATAATCACTGTGAAAAATCACATCATGTTGCTGCTGATCTGTTTCATGTTGCTGCTGATCTGATTCATGTTGATGTATTCATGCGTGCTCATCTGTTCACACAGACTCATGCTCATGTTTGTGCTGATGTTCGACGTAATGTTTTTATGCTATTAGTGCTTAGTGTATTTTTAGTTGATGTTTTTCTTAGTTCACATCTTAGATGTTATCATTGTTTTTCTTTTACATTTTTATTGTTGGATGTAACTGGGACCCTGTGTACATCATTTCGCTCCACCCCATGTACCACATGAGGTGCGAATGACAATAAAGAATCTCTGACTCTCTAAATGTGTGCATTTAAACAAAGTTGACTCTGACATGTAACATCAAAAGAACAACAGAACTGAAGCTGAAAGTACTGTGTTATTGAACACAGAGAAAAGTTTTGTCACCTTCAGTTTACTTTCACCTGTTCTTCATTTCTGCCTGCTGCTTTTTATGCTCTTTGTTCTTCAGGTTCATTAACTTGTCCCCCTGTTTTTTCTCGTTTTTCTTCATTCTGTATTTCACTTCACTGGTGTGTTACTGAACTTTCTGTTTTTGCATATTTTTGTACCTTATTTTTCTGCCCTTTTATTTTATTTTTTGTCTTCCCCAACCTTTTCTTTATTTTCACATCCTTTCTCCACTATCTTCTGTTGGCCGGGCCTTTTCCTTCCCTAAAGAACACAAACTCAAGGGACTCAAAGCACAAGTCCAGATGGAAAGCCAAAAAGCAGAAAAGGCCTTCCGTTGTATGTAACCTTCCCTCTCTTTTAAAGAAAACAGCGGTGTGTTGTGAGCTCACCGTCATTATCTTTATCTTCTATATAGGGATGCACGATATTAGATTTTTGGCCGATGTGTTAAAACTTATTTGGCCGATAACCTATACCAATACTATTTTTTTTTCCCTAGAGCTACTTACAGAGACTACACAGCTTTCTCTGCTGTGGAATTAAAATACTAAATTATTCTGCATGGTCTTTGTCAGTTTGGCCTGCTACCAAATGCAGATGCCAAAAAGGGGCTGAAAATGATGTAACACTTCAACTTGGATTATGTTTAATGTCAAATTTGTTCACGACATTTACTCTTAACACAATGACAACACCCGAACAGTGCAAGTTTGTCAATTTTCACAAATCTAAACTCAACGGTGCGTGTGATGTCATAACGTTGTGCTGGTGCAGCAGGCATCTTTGTTACTGGGTTGTCAAACAAAAACAGCACCGTTGTATATTGGTGAGTTATTTTGATGGAATGGCCGATATTTAATTTTATCACTAATATCGGCCGATACCAATCCGATAATATTGTGCATCCCTACTTCTATATAAATGTGCTTGTGACTGTCAGTTATTACTAAAACATAGCTCCTGTTTCTTTCTTTAATTAACTGCAACTTATTTTAAACATGCAGATTTGTGTGATTTCTTAAACACATCATTTATCCATTTTAATTGTTGTAATTATTTTAATGGCTTTTTTGTTGATCTCCGCATGATGAATAACAATTTCTTTGAGGTTATTTAAAATAACTAACAAGCTGCTTTCTGGGTTTACCTCCTCCTACTTGTCTCTGTCCTCAACTCTTTATTTATTCCCATCTCTTTTTTTTTTTAAATCATCTGCTTGTCTCGTAATTTTCCTTCTTCTAATCTTAAACCGTGACCCAGGCTGGTCGAGCGCCTGTCGGAGCGGCAGCAGCGCAGCACAACCTGAACGACCTCATCGTGATTCACAGCATCCCCCTGCAGCAGAGAAATCAGTATGAACGTATTTTATTCTTCAGATGTTCAACCTCTTGTCCCTAAATTAGTAAAATTCACAATTAATTTGTTTATTCTGACTATGAAATTAATTGTAGTTTAGGATAATGAGATTTACAGGAGATACTTTGCAAAAACATTTTTTTTTTTAACCGTTGTCCTTCCTCCCACAGGGAGCCAGAGGAGCGTGCGTCTCACAGGCCAGGCTCCAGTGTGGTTGTCTCCAGCAAACCTCGTCCTCGCAGAGCTTTGGAGCAGAGCTCTTCCTCGCTGTCCCGTCCCCCGCAGTCAGCTCGACGCAGAAACCCTCCCCCTCGAACCTTACTGCCTCTGGTTCCGAGCTCAAGTCAGTCCAGCACAGGAGGATACCTGGACGAGGTCGTCCGTGGGACACGTCTGTGAGTTAAAACCTCACGGAAACCCCACTGAGACACGAGTTTAGCCACAGAGTCGAGGGTTTAAATTCCAGTGTTACAGAAGTGTATTAGTCTTATTACCAAATAGTAAATGTGGTGAGCCAGGTGATATCAGGCTGTGGGAGCTCAGTGATCAGTGCTGCTCCTAAAGATGCAGGTTCGAGCCCAGATTGCGTCTGGAAGAGCATCCGGCCAGTGCCTAGATAAAAACAGTTGCAAGATCTTTCATGCAAGTTTGCTCACTGTAGCAGACAAAAAAAAAAAAGAACTAGGCGAATATCATGAGCTACAGCTTCAAATTTTAGTGACTATAAATGTTTTATTGAGAAACGAGTGATTTTGTATACCTTTAAAAGTCTTTACTCTTGACCTGTGTGTCACATAGAACCATCAATACACAGGTCTGGTCCAACCAGATTATAGTTCTGCTCTCAGAGAGGCTTGTTTTCTGCACAGAACCACAGCCAGTGACCGACTGACGTCTCCATTGTTGCCGCTGAGCCGAAACACCCCGCTTCCCCCCATCGGCACCGGGGACTCTGAGTCGTCTCATACAGGGCAGCAGTCCAGACTTGTACAGGTACACATCTGTATCAGCACAACGTAGACGACAGGCTTTACAAATCTACTAGAGTCATGCAACTGCACTGTAGCCTTCATTAAATCTGTTCATCAGGTGTCTGATATCTGGTGTGATACCTTTTTTTTTTTTATATCTCTTCAGCGTCAGAAAGGCCACTCCAGCCGTGCCCACAGTGCTGTTAACAACGAGGCAGGTAGTTCCTTACCAAGAGATCATCACCACCTGCTGGATGTCTTCTCTCGTCCCAACACAACTCACACATACAGAGTACGGCATTTAGGACTCTTTTCAGAATAAAACGTCAGCACACAACAGTTCTGTTTTTACCCGTAGGTTATATCAACATGGAGTGAACAGTTTCAAGTTGTAAGCTGTTGATTTGACAAGATGTTTGACCTCAGGCTTTTTTATTTTCAGTCGGACACTCCGTACCGGAGTTCCTTCACCGTTCTGGACAACATCGGGCAGGGGCGGCCAGGCCGAGCCTCCGTGGGCACAGGTTAGAAATGAAGATACACTTACAACAAAGACACCTCTACACTTCACGATGCAGGAGGAGGGCGCTCCGCATCATGAAGGACTCCACTCATCCTGCACACAGTCTGTTCCAGCCCCTCCCCTCAAGCAGGCGGCTGAGGATCATTCAGAGCAAGACCACCAGGCTCAGAAACAGTTTCTTCCCTGCAGCTGTCAGACTGCTGAACTCGAGTTTATTATCAATTTATTTGTTAATTGTTAGGCTTCTTGAGCTGGGACCTGAGTCCGAATTTGAACCATAAACATGCAAATGTGAGCTGGTATGACAATAAAAAAAATCCTTGAAGATATACTGTTTCTAACCTGTTGTTTTATATCATTCTGAGTATTAGTCCAAATTTTAGGCTACATTTTATATTGCACTGTGACCTCATACTATGCTCTGGTTACAAAAAACATAAACCTGAATGAAGGTTTTCATGAAAATCTAAAGCTGTGTGCTTAAACATTTTATGTCTTTTTTGCCGAGACCTAAAACTCAAAAGAAAAAAAACCACAACAGGTTAATATGTCAGAGTAACACAGCTCAACTCCTTAATACATGTGCTTAACATACAAGTGTCAGGGATTCATCCCGTTCCTAAAGGTCTTGAACCAAACTCAAATTATGTATTTTAAACCGACTCTTCTACTTTTCCAATCGAAAAAGATGAGCCCTAATAAAAATTCTAGAAAACCACTTGAAGGATGTTATTTTAGTCCCATCTGTTAATGATTTATGCATTAATTTATTCCTTCATATCACCAGACTCTCTGGGAATCGGCGTGACGGGCATCAGTCTTGGCATTAACAGCTCATCCTTTTTGGACTCGTTTCACCACCCGCTGGGACACTCGCCCATCAAAGACGGGGAGGAGCCAGAACCACAAGCCCCCGTCCCAGGTTGGTGACAGAACCCAGCTGATGAAAGGCTTCCTACTTAAATAACCTGTTACTGCGAAGGGGGTGGGGTGAAGCAGCTGGCTTTTATTAACTTATTAACTATAAGGAGACTGTTTATTTTGAATAATTCTTCCCATTTTTTTCCCCACAGCCCCTCTGGTGCCGGTGTCAGCCCCACCTCGGTCCTACCCTCGAGGGGGGATGCTGTCCAGAGCTAGCAGACCTGGCATGTAGTTCGCTCCCCATCTCTGCAACTTCCAATTATTCATCTTTATAAATGTCACTGCAGTATCTGCACCCACTAAAAGACTTTTTGTTTTACAAAAGTAGCAGATTCTTTCTTTTTATTGTATATATATGTTGCATTTTTTTAAGCGTATTTTTGTATTTCAGAAATCAGCTAATGTAGCTGCCAAACACTATCAACAATCTTTGTATACAGTATTTGTGTGTGGTTTGTACTGTGTACGTATGATCAAAAATGTACACATCTATTTTAAGTTAGTATGCTGTATACAGTAGTACTCCCTGCTGCATGTTGTACTGTACTTGTAAATCACTATGCAGGGAATAATGTATCCACTCACACAAGCTAACGGGATAAAAAGTACTGTTCTTTGTTGCATCAGGGAGTTTGGTACTGTATCTTGATCCAACGAGGGACGTCAGGTTCCCTCACCTACAGAACACAATGTGGTGTCTGTAGTTTGGCCACTTCTGCTACTTATCCTACAATGTAGGATAAAGATACACATGTACAGAAAAGTATTTGTAAATTAGCATTATTTATTGCCTGTACGATGTACTGGAATATAATTTTGTCTGAGCAAAGCCAAGTGGTCATACTTTGACAGTAACTTCAGGGTTACAGCATCAATTTTATTCCTCTTTAATTAAAAAATAAAAAAAGCCATGCAAGAGGAGCAATGAAGCAACAAAATCCCTTTTTTTGTTTTCTTTAAAAATGTTTTCTCTCACCCGTTTCGTACGAAATAATAAAAGGTTGTACAACCGATGTGATATATACATACGCATTTATTAATAACATGAAAACTTTTACAACATATTACAGGGAGAATAAGGAGACATTTACATTTGTGTCAAACTGAAAACCAGCATGTTTTCATTTCTACTGAAATATGTTTATTTTTTTGTCTTTTTTCCTTTTGGGGGTTTGGCACTTTTTTGGGAGTATTTTGCTTCCATGTCTGACAGGAAACTGTTAAAATTCTTCTCTCTGGACTGCTGTCTTTGCTGCAAAAAGGAGAAGTGCATGTTAGAACGAGGGAAAATAATATTTCCTTCCAGCATTTTTAAATTTGGGGACATGATCGTTACCTTCAGCATCATGACGAGACTATCATCCTTATCGCCAAGCCCCATCTCTTTCTGCATTTCCTCCGCTTCCTGTCGCTCTCTATCAGCCTGGAAGAGCAAATATAAAGTGGAAAAATACTTAAATTGATGCAGTATAAGAATATTAACTGTTCAAAAACAGTATCAGCAGAACACTTAGTGGTTTTATCATCAACAGTTCTCACCCTCTTCCTGCGAGTCTTCTTCTTCTTGTCACTTTCCTGAGTAAAAGCTTGGAAGGCTTCCACTTCCCCGCTTTTGATCGCATCCTGGATGATGCAGCACAGCCTGGGCTCGTCCTCCTGAGAGCAGCAAAGGGCCGAGGCTGTGATGGCGTCCATGTCTCCCTCGTGCTGCACGTAAAGCCGGATCACATCCTCCCGCTCCTCCTCAGACCCTTTATATTTCTGCTCGAACTCGAGAATGTCCTGCACTGTGATCTAGGGCATGAACGGGGCGGGGGGACAAAAGATGGTCGTCAAAACTTCACAAGCATCATAAAAAGAGTATATCACAAATTTCATCATCGGAACAGTTTTTAAATCTCCGTTTGAAGTCACATCAGCAAAGGATGCAGTTATTAGGCTCTACAGTCAAATATAAACATAAATCATCATACTGAGCAAAATGTGTTGCCTCTTTATCAGTTTCCATCTCGCATCAGGGTGTGTGTGCAATGTGTAAAAGACTTTCTTGTCACACGCGTTCTTTAATTTTGTGTGTAGGTGAAGTTGTGCATATAGGATTTGTGTGCAACCAGTGTTCTTGCATCCTGGCCTCCAGTGTGTCAGTACCTTGGGGAAGAGCAGCCTCCAGTATTCTTCCCAGCATCGGTCCTGACTGAGAACATCAGACTCCTCATCCACCACTCCCTGTTCATCGTACACAGCCCTCTGCTCCTTGTCGCTCAGCACTGCATACAACTTTCCCAACATCTGGAATCAAGTTGTACACACATATTAAGCCTTACTTATTTAAAAAGTTGGATTTTTGATAGCACGAGAATGTAAGCCTTTATAAAGCTTTTATAAATATGATATGGTTTATTTGTTATATGCAGGTTAACACAAGGTCTGAACTGCATTGTTGACCTTATGTTAACCTGCATATGACAATCAATCAATGGTTAAGACAACCTATTCTCGTGATATCAAAAATCTAATTTGCACTTAAGATACAGTAAAAAGCTTTAGCCTATGTGTCTGTACACAAATAATATCTAAATGTATACTGCTGTAAACAGAACATGACGCAACAAGTTTATTTTTAGCTAGACAATGAGTCGTTGCTACCATCGCTGCTAAAAGCTAGCTACGTTAGCTAATAACGTCTAACAGCTAACGGCGAACCTGAAATTTCTCGGTGGCCTGCGGGTCTTCAGGAGCCCGATCCGGGTGTACTTTCAGCGACACTTTGTAGTAGCTCCTCCGGATGTCTGCCTCGGTCGCCTCTTTGTTTATTCCCAGCACCTCATACAAGTTGGAGGTGTTGAAGAGCTCCTGGCACCGCTCGAGCAAACCCATCGTAAGTAAGAGCGCGCTGTTTTGACCGGATATACGTTAGAACAGAATGTGTTTACTACCGAGCGTCTGCAGCGCTTTATCGGGTTGGTTTAAATAACTAGAGAAGAGCAAATCAATGTAAGGGTCGCTTCTTTTGTCAGCACTACTTTGGCGCGCTAGCTTGTCACTACGTTTGTACGTAACGCAACGAGCTTACGTAATTGTAAACGCGTCCGCTCATTGGCTGTTACGATCACGCCTAAGAACGTAGTACTGCCTACTTCACCCAGTCCACAGCAGCTTTGTCAATTCCACTGGAAATATAATTCTGGAATAATGTAACTAACAGCTTTATTGCCTCATAAATGAAAGCAAAGCTCACTTCTGAACAAAGCAGAATATGAAAAAGGCACACAAAAAAAGTCGGACCTTGTTTCCCTTAGCAAAAAGTAGTTTATTTAAGTGTACTACAAGTATACTTACACTAAAAATGAGGAAGTGTACTTGAAGTTTACTTTTTATAAACTTTGATACACTTAAAAATAGTATAAACATGTCCCGATTTAGTCCAAACAAGTATTAAATCAGTATACTTCTACTACACTACAAGTATGGTGTGTATACTTGATATACTTAACTTAAAGTATACTTGCAAAAATAAACTTCAAATGTACTACTTTTGTTAAGGGTTGATTTATCTACCTGTATTATTGAGCATGCATCAGGACATAAAAAAGACAATTTCGTATTTGTTCTTGTGTCTTGGTTAGATTTGTTCAAGATTTTGTACTTATGTTTGAAAACTGCTTTAAATAAAATCAAGATTAATGAAAAAATAAAATTCCACTGGAAATTATGCAATAATGGATGCAAATGAACTAAAGTGCAGCTATTAATCAAAGAAATATTTAATTCATACCAAATCTTAAAGAATATTTATAATTACACTAAAGAATACAAGAAAAGCCTTACCTTGAAGGCCAAATTCATGGAAATGAAGAGTGCCAAAGAATGTTGCACCTTTACTATGTAGGAAATGTAATGTAAGCAAAATTAATAAACAATCAATGACATTGTCTATTACAGTTGTATGTATCTGCATATATAGGCTGATTGGTAACTTTAAATTGTCCCTAGGTGTGAGTGAGAGAGTGAATGTTTGTCTCGTTTGTCTCTATGTGGCCCTGTGATGGACTTGCGACCTGTCCAGGGTGTACCCCACTACTCGCATTGTGATAGCTGGACATGGGCACCAGTGGCACCAGTGGCACCAGTGATCCCCGTGACCCGAAAAGGAAGAAGCAGGTAAAGATAATGGGTGGATAGATATTAAAACAACATGCTGCACAGTCATCTACTTGTGATCCAGAGGCTCTGTGACCTTTAAGCAACGTATTTCATACATTTTAAATCATTCTTAAGGCATTACTATTACAACTAAGTACTAGGCATAACCCTAAGAGTAGCTGACTGTTAGCAGAGGATTGCAGGATTTAAAAAGGCAAACATTTGGTCTCAATGTTTTAATCAAAATTAAAGCAGATGTCAGAAATAGAAAAAGGAATAGAGGGAATAAATGAACAAGCAAAATAATTTAAAAAAAAATGGTACGAACCAATAAAAAATACAGAAAATAAGAAAATGCACATGCATAAATAGACATAGAAATAAATCAAGAAATACTTTAGCAAACATAATTATACATTAAAATATTTAGAATTAGAATTTCTTCATAGTTGTCTTACTATTTCAGCAAGATTCTTTTTCTATAAGCTGCTTCCTGCTTTATATTTTAACTCTTGATTCCGTATTTTTTGCTTGATACTTTTCCATCCATCCATCCATGCATCCATCCATCCATCCATCTATACATGCATCCAACATCTTTACCTGCTTCTTCCTTTTCGAGTCGCAGTGTCACTAGTGTCCATATCCAGCAGTCAATGTGAGAGAGGTGGGGGACACCCTGGACAGGTCTCCAGTCCATCACAGGGACACATAGAGACAAACGAGACAAACAACTATTCACTCTCACTCACACCTAGGGACAATTTAGAGTTACCAATGAGCCTAACATGCATGTTTTTGGTTTGTGGGAGGAAAACAGTACCCGGAGAAAACCCACACACATATGGAGAGAACACGCAAACTCCACCCAGAGTGTCTGGAGTTTGATCCAGCAACCTTCTAGTACTTTTACAAATGCATTTATTTAGTGTTGTATAAGATTTGTGTCATAGTAATTGATTTATTTATTATAACTGTGGACTTGGTTGTTTCGTTATATTGAGAACTAAGATGTTACTCTAAAACTTTGTGGAGTCCCATCTGTGTCCTTTCATCACTGGACTGCAAGAATCTGAGCTGCTGAGGTTCAAGTAAGCTGTCTAGAACTGCTTAGTGAGAACAAAAAAGGTTAAATGATGTCATCTGAACCAGTTTCTTTAAGTGAGAAACGTTTCATGCCCCATCCAGAAGACTTCGTCAGTCTGAGGCCTGCCAACCAGATCTGCCCCATAGGTAGCCTTCATTGCTGTGTTTCAAGCCAACCTCCTGTTAAAATCTCAGAAGTAGGTTTTTAACAGTTGCAGAACACACCCGTCCAAAACAATCAATCATCATGTACAATAATCAAATGTTTTTAGGCCAGTTGGCCAACTTGCTACTCACAGAAACAGCCTGAGGACACCAAGGCCAAAGTTGTTCAGAAAAAGGTTTGGCTCAATCATCCAGGCAGATAACAACAAAAACAGTTAAATTGTGTCCGCTGGACTATTGGAAACATTTCTCACTTAAAGAAACTGGTCCAGATGACGATTTAACCATTTTTGTTGTTATCTACCTGGATGAGTGAGTTTACAACCTTTTGCATAGTGAAACGTTTTACAGTTTAGGTTCCATTCACAACAGTCACCCAGTGGAGTATGTACAGATACCCTTGTATTTATTGGTGATTTGAAGCAGCACAAGAATACATCAAAGACAATGAGGCAAGTCACTAGGTTTGTCTGACTGCTTCATGCAAAAGCAGAACACAAAATTACACACAGACTTTGAGTTTAGCATCTTTAGATTGCATCCACCTGTGTTTACAAGCCTGTACAAAATGCAGCACTGGTAATTTACACTGCACCCCCCACCCCTTCATCTCAGATGTTTTCTAATTATTGCCCCATCTGCTTCTGTTGCATATTTGGCACCGTCTCCATTGTAGTTTTTGTTCCGATTTTCTGTCATCACAAAACGTCATATGCCCTTTGTACTCAGACACAGAATAAGCACTTGGTCGACCGGCTTGTCATTATCATGAACACCAACGAGTAAAAAACTGACCAGAGCACAAGAGTTGGACTGTAAATGTTATGAACTGTTGCTGGTGTGCAGATCCTTTTAAAATGCTTTCCATCCGCTTGCACTGATAGTACAAGACGAGCCTGAACACAACCATCATTTCCTCAAAATGTTGTTTTGCTAACAGTCATTTGACAACAATTATGTCTTTGAATTCTTGATTCATTTTTACACCATGTCCAGCTTTGATGCATCTTCCCAATAAACTGGGACAGTTTCAAAGTGTCCTCTAGGGGGCGGCAGTTCAGCATTCCTTTCTGGTCTTCACCATCTTGCTGGCATATTTGATAGGGATCCCCCAGCGTCTCATTAGATAGACATCAAACACATAGGCCATTCCTGGCTCTAGGCCCCCGATCACAGCTGTGGTGACGGCCCGTCGAGGATTCAGCTCTTGGAAATACTTGCAGAGAACCCTCTCGGTGTCAGAACGTGACTCCGGGCCCAGACAGGGCGCTGTTAGAGCTGATACCCCCCCAGTTTCTGCCTCCTGGTTCCCAAGCCTTCTGCGGTACACACAGTACAGACTTCTTTCCTCTGTACCCATCCAGGCGAGGGTGACGCTGTTGCAACCACGCAATCTGTTGAAGGATTTTATCTGCAAGGTGGAAGGCAGAGATGGGACCTCTCTGCGGTGGTAGGCTGAGGAAATCTGCATTTTGACTGAAGCCGTCAAACCTCCAGGCAGAGCGTGGTCTATTACTGTAGGGATTTGGCCTGCGGAAGTTCCTTCTCTCTGCAGGTGGATGAGATATGAAGGACTCCCCTGAAGCCAAATGTGTGCTAAATCTGGCCCCACTCCCTGAGAGGTCAAAACCTGTCCCTTACTAGACACGGTGACCTTGAGCATGTCGCCTTTGCCGCAGCTCTGTAAAGTGAGGAGGCCACTCTGCTGCCAACCGCGAGGACGAAAACTGAAGAACTGCTCCGAGTTTGACTTTGAGCCTCCATTTTTAAAGGTCACCCACCTCAGCTCTCCTTCTCTCAGTGGTGTGATCGCACGCCGAGCCTCCTCGTGTGTCCGAGCAGATGTGCCTTTGTATGCCGCGCTGGTCCCGTTCAACCTGTCAATCACAAAAACGTCAAAGTAATAAGGAGAGTCGGGCAGGAGCTCGGAGATGGTGCAAACGCTCTCCGTCCCCTGACACACACACTGAACATCCTCAACGGGAAAGGACGAGGGCAGATGTTGCGCTTCAGGATAAGTGTCCCACTGCTCCCACCACCAGTCCTTTAAAACTGGCCATGCCGCCTCTTTCCTGTTCGTTTCCTTCTTGTCTTGTTGGTGATCTTTCTCCCTCTCCGTGCCCTCTCTTACGGCGCAGAGGCTGGGGTAGTTCCGCAGAGAGTTGACGAGCACACAGTATTCATAATTGTTCTCCTCTCGTGGGAGGCTGGTTATGGAGGCACTGGGTGCCCAGCTGAGGCTGACACTGGTCATGCCTACGCCCAGTGTGTGAACTCGCGGGTCAGCTGGGAGCAGAGGGAAGATGCCTGATGATCCCTGGCCTTCGTGGAGAAATAAAGTAGCTCTCGTGCTTTGCTGTTTGGAGCGGAGCCTCAGGATGTAGATGGAAGCGTGTGGATGGGGAGAACCACTGTAGGTGTCCGCTGCATCGCCGGTGAAGCTGTGGATTTTCTCCTCCGTGCCAGGACCCCGCCACCACACCTCAGGCATGCTCTTTTTGCTGCTCCCTGCGAGAAAAGTACATGAGCATTTAGGTCTCGTTCATCTAATAAAACTTTCTTTACCATCCTTGATGTCCCAGAGAGCAAACACTGCAGCGCTGTTTGTTTTTGCATCAAGTTTTGCGTCCTCTACACTTTTAGCTCTTGGAGAACTACTGTGTTTACTGTAGTTGGCGTTTGTAAGGTGTCAAGACTCCACGTGCTGCCAGAGAAAACTTTATAGAGTTCAGCAGCACCGATTCTTCAAGTCTGCGCCAGAGTACCAGAGGCATGGAGCAGCCGTCTTGAAATATACATGCCCTCATTTGGTTTGGCAGTAATGGTGAAACAAAACATGAAACCCATTAGTTTAAAATATTTTGTTCAAAAGCTGCTTAAAATGAATTTTAACATTCTTCAAGTTATTCAATGATAGCCTATGAATGGGGGATAGCCTGGTTGGCTAGGAAGTTCCTATATATGGTACAGTCCATTTACTGTTTAGCATAAAAGCACTAATACACTATTTGTAAAATCTAAATTATTAAAGTTCATTGACATAGTTCAACTACAGACAGCTCTAATTCTTTACAAAGCAAAAAATAAACGATTACCAGAAAACATTCAAAACCTGTTTAAAACGAAGGAGCAAATTTATGTTATGGGGGAATCACAGTTTAAAATATGCAAATTCAGAACTACTAGACAAAACTTTTGTGTATCAGTAAGTGGAGTCCAACTGTGGAATAATTTGAATATTGAACTTAAACAATGTCCAAACATAAAACTGTTCAAATTACCTTAAAAACATGTGCTTATTGCTGGATATAATATATAATGTTATTATTCAATTATTGTTGGGGTTTTTGCTATTTGTGATGCTTTTGTTTTTTGTTTTTTGTGAAGTTAAAGGAATAATAATTGTTCATCTACTATAGTTAACTTAAATAGATATAATGATGGGATAAATATGGGTTTAGTTGTTATACTGTATTTATGGATTATACATGTAATAAATGTAAGATTATGTAAGTGATTAAGGAGTGGGAATTCTAATAAGTTTATACTTCTACCCACTCCCTTGAATATGTAAAACAAAAAGTTCTATTTCATATAGGCTTCGCCCTTTAAGGCTGTCGCTGATGGTTTATCCCGTTATGCGCAGCATAAGCACTGAAAAAAAAATTAGTCCACGCCCACCTGCTGTGTGGGCCCCACCCGGTCCGTATAAATTACGTTAAGAGCGGGAAATCGGCTCCCATTTTTTCTTCAGCGAGCTAATATAGCACTGTCAGAAGAACAAAGAAGATAAATTGTGTAAATGACCAACCTTTGCGGAAGATGCTTGGCCCGGCAGTCGACCTCCGGTCGTCCGGTGAGTTCTCCTCCCAGAGGAGAAGATGACAGCAGTCTTATTCCAAGGTAAGCGTCGGGGAACATTTCCCAGTGACAGGTCATTACACGCTGGACAACGCCATCTTGTGTTTTTCCTCTTATCGCCGACCCTCGGGGCGAACCGGATGGTTCCTCCGGGGCAAGGTGTGCTCAGCTGCAGCCCCCGCTGCTCATTCCCTCCCGGGGAGCGTAGTGTAGGTGGAGGGGGGCTGAGTGAATGCTCACCCCATCCCACCTCGTTTCGCATCGGCGATCACACCGCTCCCGGCCGACAGCGCCCTCAGGGGTTGCCCGGCGGAACCCGGGAGGAGGCTGACATGAAGGGACCCCTTTTTTCTACGTCCCTCGCCTTTTCCCGCCAGTTCGGATGATCGGCGGAAAGGTTATTTTTCACTGACGTGTTTTTCCAGGCAGCCGCAGTTAGCAACAACGTGCGCTGCTAGCATATAGCATGTCCAAGGGACTGAAGGCCGCAGACCTGCCTTGGAGACAAAGAACTCCTTCTGTAAGGCAACTGACGCTATTCCTCGGTTCCCTCCCCTGGAGCCAAGCCTCGCGGAAGCTTCCGGAGCGAAGCTGTCCAGGTCGGAGCAGCGTCCCGTCCCTCCGGAGGAACCAGACGGCGACCAAAGCTCTCCAATCGAGCCCACCGACGTGTTTTTCAGGCAACCGCAGTTAGCAACAACATGCGCTGCTAGCATTTAGCATGTCGAAAAGGCTGGAGACCTCAGACCTGCCGGAGGAGACAAAGAGCTCCCTGTGTAATCGGCAGACGCCATCCTCAACATGTGCGCCGCTCCCTCGGTTTGCCTGTCGAGGATTGTAGCATGGATGACGGTAATCCAACGTTCCATCTGGCTCCGTCACTCTCCATTGCTGCCGGAAAAGCTGCACAAAGACCGGATGGAGGGCCCCATCTCATCGGACGCGCTGTTCGGAAGCAGCTTGACGTCCATGCTGACGAATTCGAAGCAGTCGGAGGAGACGTCGGAAGCTGTACGCCATCTCATCAAGCCGCGCGGCTCATTCCGTCCTCCAGCCCGCTGGAGAGATCGTCGAAAGCAGAGGCAGAAACATCGACGCTCCACGGCAGCAGCAGCTTCGTCTCGCCCAGCTCCACCACCAGCCCCGCCCGCCAGAGACCACCCCTCCTCAGTCCGGCAGCCTGCACTTCAGCGTTTTCCCCAGAGATCGCCTGCAGACGGCGCTCGGAGCAAACAAACCGCAGGGCTCACGGGGGAGAAGTTTTAAGAAATGACGGTCTGCGGAGGATGTGTGTATAAATGACACAGGAATTGAATAAATGATTTTTCAAAGATCAAAATGCCTGTTTTTAGCCAGTCTGTAAGCTCGGATGAGCTCACAGCCGCTACACACACATCCTCCACTCATAAGAGCCGGTGTCCTTAAATAAAGGTTTTTTAAATCCACCGCCGCTCCTTCACATGCCCAGACGCTCACGTGACACCACGATAAGCGAAATAACTTGTTGTCAATCAGACCCGCACGATCACCTCCCAACGGTGTTAACGCGCTCCCGAGCGAGACAAGCAGCCTCCATCCAAACGGCACTGTGTCGATGATGCACGCACAGCTGCCCGGCGCTCACCGGCCCACATCGGGATAAATGTGGGACCGCAGGCCGGGTCCGGTGGAGGTCCCTGCTCTCAGCGAAAACAACACACGCCTCTCCTGAATGAACGCGAGTGGCCGTCATCCACCGCGTCTCAGCGATCAGCAGCTCACGGCGGCATAAGCGTGAGACAGCTGAATGAATCCAATGACGGGCCCCGCCCTCAGCGAGAGCGGCGCGCGTCCCTCCAGAGGAAACGTGCGCTCCCGCGAGGCTCACAACCTTCACTTCATCAGCTGACACACACCTCGCCTCAGCACACACCGCCCCGCCCGGACATGAAGGTTGGTCCGCGATCCAGTCACAGCGCGCGGGCGCGCGCAGAACAGCCCTTTCGAGAAAGCCTCGCCTTGGGTCACGCGGAAAACATTTCCGCGACGCATGACGGCGGTCGAGGCGGAGGTTTGGATGACATCCGTTCAAAACACGGCACATCATTTAAACGCACGTCCACTCCACGAACGTCACGCAGAGTGGTTAAAAACATGCTCACCGGACAGATGGATGGACAGAGTGTTATGCAAGGGTTACACGCTGCAGTTTGCAACCCGACCCCCTCCGTTCGGAGGAGTTATAGAGACGGTCCTGTCATCACCAGACCAAGTCTCAGCCTTAAATGCAGAAGTCCAAGAGCTTCTGATAAAAGGTGTAATCTCAAGAGTTCCCAACGAGGAGGAAAACACAGGGTTTTACTCACGCTACTTCCTGGTCCCCAAAAGGACCGGAGGGATGAGACCGATTCTGGATCTGTCAGCTTTCAACAAAGCGATCATGAACAGATCTTTTCACATGTTGATGAACAGACAGCTGTTGGACAACATCCAGGAAAACGACTGGTTTGTCTCCATCGTTTTAAAAGATGCCTATTTTCACACACCAATCATCCCAAAACACAGAAAATTTCTGCGTTTCGCCTTTCAAGGGATGAAGTACCAGTACAACAGGTTGCCTTTTTCGGGTACTCCCTCGCGCCTCGTACGTTCTCAAAGTGTGTGGAGACAGCCCTGCATCCACTGCACAAGCAGGGATGAGAGTTTTGTTTTACCTGGACGACCTGCTGCCCCTGTCTCACTCCAGACAGGAAGCATTGATACAGGCTCAGGTGTTAGCATCACACCTGCTAAATCTGGGTTTCGCCATAACTGGAAGAAGAGCTCGATTTTCCCGGCCCAGATAATTGTTATCTGGGAGTGGAATTAAACTCAATTACCATGACGGCTCGTTTATCACAAACAAGAATCGACACTCTAAAAACCAATTACGCCACGTAAGACCTGGCAAAGTGGTAACAGCTGTCTCCGTCATGAAGCTGTTGGGAATGACGTCATCAGCTCACACAGTGGTCCCGCTGGGTTTGTTACACATGAGACGCCTCCAGAGGTGGTTTACGCGTCTGCGTGTGGATCCAGTAAAACAAAAGAGACGGATGATCACTGTCCCTCCCTCCATGGGAGCAGACCTCCGACACTGGGGAAACACCCTGGCTCTGTCAGAGGGAGTCCCCCGTCAGCAGACCCACGTCACGTGTCAGTCTTCACGGACGCGTCTCTGTCAGGTTGGGGGGGGGGGAACATGCCTATCTCAAGCAGTAGGGGCGCTGTGGCCCCACCGCACATCAGCCCACATCAATGTTTTGGAGTGTCGCACAGTGCTGAATGTGATTCAACATTTTGCTCCCGTGCTACAGAATCAACACGTGTTGATTCACACAGACAACATGGTGACTGCTGCGTACATAAACCGCCAGGGGGGTGTGCGTTCAGCCCAGATGTTACACATTGCGCGGAAGCTACTGAGTTGGGTTCATCAAACCTGCTTTTATTAGAGCGGTTTACATATCCGATGTTCTGAACAGAGGGGCTGATGTGACGTCCAAGGGCGGCCCACGTTATGTGGACCGGATCCTCCATCCGGATCTGATGTTTTTCAGACACAGCAGAAGTTGGCAAAGCAGCTGTGGACCTGTTTGCGACGCAAGAAGAACGCGCAATGTCAACTA